CAGCGGCAGACGATTGGCCTGCAGCTGTCCAGGTCCCTGCTGCTGCAGCTGCTGCTGTTGCTGCTGCTCTGTGATCAGGCTGGCGGCAGCTGCGGCTGTCGCAGCGCCGACGCCCGCATGCCAACAGGCCTGTGCATCACCGGGACGCTGCTGTGACTGTGACTGTGACAGTGACAAGGACAGTGACTGGTCCGGTGCACCTGTCGCATTCTTCCCGGATTTCGTGGAGTTGAGCTCCACCTTGAGCTTGGGGCCCATCTTCTTGAGAATGCGCGGATATTTGCCAAACTTCAGGTTGAAGAAGCTCGCGTACTCCAGATAGATGGCGTCCAGGTCCACATTGTCGCACAGCTCGTACTCATCGGTGAGCCGCCCCTCGCCCTTGAGCGCCTCCGCGCTGCTGTAATAGCCGTTCTCCAGCAAGTAGCGGTGCATCAGATACAAGAGATTGCGTCGCCGTGTGGTAAAATTTCGCACATCCTCGCAGAGCACCGTCGAGGCGGCTGTGGCCGCAATCCCATATTTGGTCTGAGGCTTCATCTGGCTGCGCAGCATGAGTTTTCCTCTAGCCACTAACTGTTGGTGTGTGCTTTATGTGTATACAATATATATCTATATATATATTTATCTTTCTATTGTTGCCTGTTTATTGTCGAGCGCCGCGCGCCTAACTTCATCTATCTCATCAAAATGGGAGTAAAATACTATTGACAGCATTCGCATTGTTTGCCTGCTTCAAATAGAGTTGCCATAACAAACACGCCAGGGTTGTGCAGGGCAACGTCACACACAGCTGCACAGTGGGGTCGATAGTCAAAAATCATGGCATTTATTTTTTAACAAACTGTGAAGGCAGCTAAAAAGTGAAGTGCTCTAAAGGTAGCACAGAGCATATATATAGAGAGAGGTAAAGATGATAACATAGGTATTCACTTTTGGAAATTTAATGTTAAATAACTTATTGTTTCTCTTCCGTTGTTCGTGAAATTCAATGGGCATGACGTGGAATGACATTCAGATGTGTGTCTGTGAGCCTAGCTATAATTTTATCCCCAAACTGTGTTTTTTTGGCCCCACTGTGCGTATTGCAACGTTGTTGCCATTGGCTGCAGTCCACCAGCTGCAGCAAACAGTCATCAACATTTTGAGTAAAGACAACCGCAAATATGCTCAGCCGCAAAAGTCAACAAGATGCGAATTGTTGCGGCGAGATGAGTGAAAATGCGGCTGATTAGCTGATAGATTGGCTGGGGTTTGGCATCTGTTCAGCTGCCACGAACCGTGCGTCAAATGTGAGTGTGTGTACGTGAATGTGTGTGTGTGTTAGCTACTAATTAAAACTGAGCAGAGCGTGAAGGAAACACCAAAAATAAACGGCCAAGCCGCAGCCAAATACAATTTTCTCAGTTTAAGCTGGCTGAGAATCGCATAGAAAGGCAGTTGACGTAAACGAAGTATAAATGAAGATTGAAATGTTAAAAAAAAACAGTTGTAACTAATTGTTTTTTAAATTAAGTTGAAGTTTAATGATAGTTAACCAGGGCAATGAAGATATTATCTTCCCTGAAAGCTTATAGGATCCAAAATAAAACTTTAATATTAAATAAAAAATATATAATGTTCTGGCAGCTATGTAGGCTCGGCTAGTCTATAGTTCACATTAAGAATATGTAAAACGAATTGATCAACTCTTTGCGTCAAGTGGACAAGTGTGATTAGGTAGTGAATGGGCTCGCATTGGTGAGTCATCAGGTAAATTGCAATCATTTGGCCAATGTGCGTTGGCCGTTTTGTCGTCCAACGTTGCCAAGAAGTTGCATGCACAATTTGTTTCTGGTGGCCACCAGGGCGACAGCTGTGCCAACGGTTAATCAAATGCGCGACGCAATGAAATGAAAATCAACGATTCTCATGGGCGGCTTCTTTTTGCTGCCACACTTGCAACACGGCCAGGCTATGCAACATTCATATGCCTCAGTGTTCCATATTTTTGCTTTTCCTCAATCGCTGCCTATCAGAATTTTGCCTCTTAAAAAAAATACCAACAGCCAAGGTAGCTCCGAGGTGGGCCAAATGGTGGGCGGGCTACGGTTGGCAGTTAGGGGAAGCTCTGACTAGTTGTGTGTGTGTGTGTGTGTGTGTGTGTTGCATGACTGATGCTATTCTGTGTGTGTGTGTGCTCATTTCATAACGCACGCTGCTTCGCTCGCACTTTTAATTTAGTTTGTACACAGCAATGGCAATGGCTGCCGTGACGCCTCCAGCTGCTCGAATCTTTTGGTGTCAAACCCATCCCCTGCACAGGCTCTGGCCCAGCCTGCTTTGCACACCCATTGCACATGGCAGTCAGTCTCAGGCTTTTGTTAATGGCCTTGTGATAGTTGTTTTTTCTTTCTTTTTTTTTTTTTGTTTTTGTTGTTTTTTGTGTTTGTGCTGGCTCAAAAGCAGCTGCCACACACAAGTGTCGCTGCACGTGTCGCTGGATTGGTTTCTGGGTTCGGTTTCAGTTTCAGTTGCAGCTGCTGGGAATATTGTGGCCAAGGTCTTATATCAGTGCAGTTCTGAATGTATTCATTGAATGCACTCATTGGCCTGCGCGGCACTCCATTAGTGAGCCTCGGCATTAATGGGTATGTCAGCAGTTCGTGGCAACAGCAAAAACTTGCTGCTCAATGCATTACGCACGCTTTGAGCTTTAAGGCCAAGGCAAAAACAATTGTATTGTGTACATTTAAATTGCGTGCCCCAACAGCTCGACTCGTGCGTGTTGCATACTTGCAGGCGTTGCCAAAGCCGAAAGCAACACCTATCTAGGCAAAAAGACAATGAATCTAAAAAGGGTTGGAGGCTGCTACGCATAGAGCTTTCCATTGTTGTGGCAAGCAGGCGGCAGGCAGGAAATGTGCCCCACGGCAGTCGCTCCTCATGCGCCTAATTAAATGTGCAAATAAATGTACGACCCGAGCTGATTGTGATGAGTGTGTCACCGAGTGTGTGTGTGTGTGTGCTCTGATTGTTGTGTGGCATAGATTCCAACTGCTGCCAGAGGCAAGCCAGTAAGAAGCCAAGACTCAAAACGGCCCAACTTAATTAGTTTGTTAGGAAGGAAGTAGCTGGATGTGAAATGATTGTATGCACGACTGAATGAATGGCTAAATGAATGGGAGAGTGAGTGAAAGAATGAATAAAAGAATGAACGACTGAATGACTGAATAGCTACAAACTTTGCGTCACATGGCGGGGTGAGGGGCAGCAAGAAACAAAGAAAAATATATATATTATTCAATTCTCAACATTATGTGGCAAATATGTTAAATGAAGCACGCTTCGAAGAGAAAAAACAACAACAACAACAACAAAAATAAAATAAAAGCTGCAAAGCGAAACTGAAAGTTTTGCCAACTTAAAACTGAAAACTGTGGCTCGCTGCCTGCCTCGTAACTTTGAAAAGTACTACAAAGTATGCCATGGTAAATGGCGACATTGTTGCGCACGACAACAACAACAAGAACAACAATAAAAAGCGATACAACAGTATCAGCAGCAGCAACAACAACAACAACGACAACAACAACAACAATAATATTTGGCTAGCGTCAACTTTGTGCCAAGTTTACTTAATGACCCCGATATAAATTTTACTTAAAACATCATTTTTCTTTACGACTTTCGCTGCCAAAAGCGTGGCCTTCAATGAGCTGACTGGCGGCGGCGGCGGCTTCGGCAGCGACGTCGACGATGGGCAACAGGAGCTATAAGGAACATAAGGCTGAACGAGGCCGCCAACAAGGACACAGCTGCGTCACAGCGTCCACAGGCCAAAGTACTATGACCAGCAGCCGAACGGGCTAACAACTTGCTGTACGGCATCTGGTTTTGCTTATGAAAGTATTTTCCTTAATTATGACAACGCCCTCTCAGATTGATGCCAGTCACTGTCTCTGGCCGTTAGTGTTTGTTGCTTTGCTGTCTTTGGTTGCAACAGAATTAGGGCAGCTGTCGACTGTGGCAACTAGCAATAAATAGCTGGCAGCTGCATTTCATAGAGCTCCATTTAACATTTTAGCTTGCAACTTATCGTATGGCCAGCCATAGATTGAATAAGTGTAATTACGATTCAAGTACAGATTGAGCTCGTTAAGCTCTAAACATACGTAATTGACATCAATTATAACTAAGAAGTATTTGTTTGTTACATATTCATTTAGAGAGTATTTCGTTAAGAATTCCCAAATAGTTTTAGCAGCACACCAAAAGCGAAATTCCGCCAGAGGACGCACAAAAGCCAAATATATTTGGCGCGCCATCTAGCGGATAGGCTTACTTATAAAGTTGATGCTCGCAACCGCTGTAACTTGATCAGTGGCACAACTTTGGCGCGACTTCAATACGCCGTTGACGGCGCCAACGGCCCTAGGGAAACGCGTCTCTGTAGTGAAGTCAACTTTCAGCAAGTTCTCAATAAACTTGGCTACATTCGGCTCGCGGTTGCCAGCGACGCGCGGCTAGAGGAGGCTAGAGTTAGGCCCTTGTTTTCTTGGCTGGGGCTGGGGCTGTTACGTTTTAAGCAGAGTTGGCGCAAAAGTTTTCATAAGCAACATTGACGCCGCTGTCGACGTCGCAGTCGCAGTCGACGCTGACAAAGAAAAACCCTACGAAAAGGGCAAAAATGTCTAACGAATTGAAAAACTTTAAAAGCGCCTTATTAGGCGCGCTTCCGTTTCCTGTAGGTCGTCGCTTTTGTATTTTCCCCCGCCCCTCCTTTCCTCTCCCCTGCACCCCTTTGCAATCCATTGCCAACTGCCTTACCAACCGAACCACTCGGAAAAAGTTCGCTGTGTCAAGTCAACAAGGCCGTCTATAACACGACTCAAGTTTGGGTCAAATGCCCGTCGACTTTTTGATTATTTACGCTCACAATGCGAGTAGTTAGTAGCTGACTAAATAGCTAAGTAATTAACGCACCAACTGCTCAACTAATTCATATAATTTTCTTGCAGCTTCGATGTAGAAAATGGCCAGGGCGCCCGATCACCACTTGAGGGCGGTTCACCCAGCGCCGGTTTGGTTCTACAGAATTTACCGCAACGTCGCGAATCGTTTCTATATCGTTCCGATTCGGACTTTGAGATGTCACCAAAGTCAATGTCAAGGAACTCAAGCATTGCTAGCGAAAGGTAAGTACCGATTGCCAAACTTCATTTGATATTTATCGGTTCGGTCTTGTGCTTATTTTCCAATTGACATCTCGCATATCGGCAACATTTGATTATCGAGTTATCCAGACTATATTGCGTACTTCATATATTTGTTTTCATTTTCATTTACATTTCCATTTCCATTCAGATTTTCATTTTCATTTTCATGCCTTAATATGATTCGATTTTATACAATATTCATACCCATTTTAAACTCAACATCATCATCACAAGTGACATTCTCATTAACTTTCTGTCAAAACTTCGAACGCATAAAAATTACGAGTGTAAATCTAAAATCCCTTCGCTCTTTGTTCTCATGACAACTTCACAAATTGCCTAACACATTTATCACTCATGTTCATTTCTTGTGAAATACTTTGTGAAATACAAAAGTCCAGCAGCTCTTTACCTATTCAATTCTATTATGAGCATCTCCTACTATTGCTTTCACTAAATCCAATTATACCAGCTGATGTAGCTCAGCCTGATTTCATTTCCGTTTACAATTCCTTATACTTCCTCTTTTAAGTCAGCTTCTACTAATATTTTGATAAATGCCTTGCCTTATATTATCGTTTTCACACCTTATTCTACGACTGCTACGATGACGTCATCGACTTCTTCTGTTCCTACTGCTTCTAATTTTACTACTACTTTGATTACTATTTCGTCTACTATTACGAATTTTCCTCTTTAATCGATGTCTTCTACTCCTACCTATAATACTATTTTTACTACTAGTCAACTTCTACTACTACTTTGTCCATGGGCTTTTCTTATATTCCTACTTTTACACCTAATTCTAACGACTGCTTTTTATGTTAAGTCGACGTCTTCTGCTCCTACTCTTCTAAATCTACTACTACATCGACAACATCCTATTAATTCTACTTAATGGACTTCTATTTTCACCATTAGTGCTACTACTATAACGACGTATTCCACTCCTACTCCTTCTAATATGTTACTAACTTTACTACTATTCTTGTACTTTTTATTGACTTTTCGAGTTTTTTAACTTCTACTAGTGCTACTACTACTACTATTTTGCACTACTTCTTCTATAACTACACATTCACTGCCATTTCTACTACTATTTGCAAATATTTCTATTTCTACACTTTCTACAACTTTGTTTTTGTTTACAACTGAACCAGCTTTTGCTACAACTTTTTCAACTACCTGAACTGCTGCTTCTTTTAACACTATTTTTTCTAGTAACTCGACTGCTGCTACTTTTACAGCTACTTTTTCCACGACTTATACAAAATACTATGATTTCTACTACTATTTCTACCCAAACCCTTTGCTTCTAGAACTTTTGTAGCCCTGCTTCAAATGTATTTCACAAGTCATTTAAAGAAAATTTCTTCAACTATTTTTGGTATTTCACCTTGTACATGTTATCTTTTCGCTTTTGAACATTTCCATTACCATCTCGTAAATATGTGCTACCAATTTCCAGCATCTGTTGCTCTTGTCTGGCTGCCTTTGCTGCCACTATTCGCCATGCCACACCTTTGCTGCATGCTCGTATATAAGTATATGTATGTGTGCGCGTGTGTGTGGGTGCAAGTGTGTTTACCATCGTTTGCGGTATTTCAGGCACTTTGCCACATTTCAATGGCATCGCTGCGCCGCCTCTAGAGCCGAGCTGGCAACATCATCATTCGATGCTGGTCAAGAGCCGTCCCATTGATGGCATTTCTAAAATTCATAGCAAGCATTTCGCCACATCTGGCTGGCTCTTTGGTATAAATTCCTGACCAGCAGCTCCGGGCTCCTCTCTCTCCATTCTGTGCTCTAAACTCTTTAGTCTGTAGTCTTTTGTCCGTTGCTTCTCCGAGTGAGTTGGCACGGCTTTAAGCATTGTTTGGACAGAGCCTTCTCGACAAGCAACAAAAACTTTGGTCAGTATGCAGAGGCGTAAAAGAACGTTTAGCTTCAATTTTGCTGCACTATTCAGACTATTCGATTGCATCGTTATGCAACTGGAAACCGGAAATGCATTTTTTTGGCAGCCATGTTTTGTGCAAGAAGCGCGACAACATTTCAGTTTTTGATGCGGTTCTCAACGCCAAATGAATATGCATTAAAACAATAATAACAAAATAATTGCACAGAACAACAAAGCCAACGAGGGTGTTCTAGTGGGGAGTGCCCGACTGGCAGATACCATGAACCCAACGCAGAGCTGCCTTTCATGCTAGCTACCATCTATACACACACACGCACACACGCCGCTTCTTCTTTCCTTCCATACTGTGTGCAAAGCTTTCGTGATTATCTTTGGTATTTATTGTCCGATCTTTATCAAATATCAGGCCATAAAATCGTCATTCAAATGTGTGTTCTAGTTAATATCTATAAAAATGGGATTTTTTTTACATTTTTTGGGAAAAGTGAATTATTCTGTAGCTGTCTGAGCTATGTAGGAATCTGCATACCAAATTCGAGATATGCTCAAAAAAAATTATATATCTAATTATTTTTATTGATTTCTTGTAAACGACGCAAGCTATCGATGAATAAACTTTATCTGCACGGACAACATACGGACAGATAGACATTCAGACAAGCAGACAGACTGTAAAGCTAGATCGACTCGACTGTAGATGCTGAGAAGAAGAAAATGCATACACTTATGGGATCGAAGTTGCTTTCTACTGCCCGTTACATACATTCGCACAAATCCAGTATACCCTTTGTGCACAGATTGAATGAGTTCGGTGTATAACAACAACTGTAAAATCAAAGCATCAGGTAGCATCTAGTCAAAATAAAAGAGGGCAAAAAAATACTACATCGTATGGAATTGGCCTGGCATATGGTCAGCGGCAAAATGCAACCTTGGGCACAGAGGCATTTTACAGCTATTTTTACACGACTTTTTGGCTCTCTCTGCCCCGCGTCTGGGCGATGCTCAAAGGCCGAAATGCAAAAATATATCGCGCAAATCGTAGATGAAAAATTGCAAAAATATTTGGACCGCAAAACACTTAAAACACCCCCCTTGGCCACCTTGCTGCTCCGTCCCGCCGACACGCCTTCAAATAAAAACAACAACATGAACCGTTTGCCCATCAAGTGTGTGCCACAAACATACTTATAAACACATTAAAGCGAAGGCAGCAGAGCAAAATAAAATCGAAGCAAAAGAAATTGCACCGACTTTTTAATACACTTCACAGAGATGTGTTCGGTGCAGTTTAATATACAATTATCTACAATTATCTTGGCGAAATGCGCGCAATAATTATTAATTATAATTAAATGTTGTCAAATGATTTATCACAACATATTTATCATTAAATCAGAATTCTCATACTCTTCGATTTATATGTGTCTAAATTTAATATCTTTCTTGAACATGCTTAAGACCAAAAGATTTTTAAAGGATGTCCCTTTGATCCCAATTAACTTCTGAATGTCGTCGCTTCATGTCAGTGTTATGTGTGTGTAATTCTAGTAACTCTCTCCCTTACTCTCTTATTTACTTTCTCTCTCTCTATCTCTCTCGCTCTCGCTCTCTCTCACTCTCTCTCTCTTCCTTTTCACTCTATTTGTTCTGTGTCAAGAAAAGATGTTTCGTATCCAAAATATATACATATATACATTTTTTATATGCATGAAGCTTTTTAGAACAGTATTGAAATGACGAACGAGAGAAGTTTCTCTACGATATTGGGTCCCCTATTGAGCCCAGATCTGTGATGTTTTTGTGCAGACAACTTTATAAACTGACTGATTGATTGATGATCGAGAACATAAATAGCAGCTGCATTTTTACAGTACCTTTTTCCTTCATAGTTTTGAAGACTTTCACCCGCAAGCGTGGAAAATAGGCGAAAAAACCTAATGAGATAAACTATAAAACTTTGTTTTCTAAACAAGTTGCGCTTAGGTAGCAAAAAACTTTATAATCTGACTGATTGATGACTGACAGAATGAATTGCGGCTGCTTACCATTGTTTCCTCTCAAAGCTTTAAAGACGTTCACTTGCAACCGTGAAAAATGGGCGAAAACACAATATATAATAAATTGTAAAACATTGCTTTTTTAACAAGGTTCTCTAAAGTAGCAAATGACTTTATAAATTGACTGACCGATTGATGATTGACAGCATGAGCTGCAGCTGCATTTCCGCAACATAATTTCCTTTCTTAGAAGAAAGGTCGAAGACTTTCACCCGAAAGCGTGGGAAATGGACGAAGCCAAATCAAATAAAGTGTATTACTATCTTAACTAGCATTGTTTATAGCTACAAAAAATCCCTGTCCTCTGCTAAGTCATTCAAAGCACATACCCTAGAACTGCGAATCGAAGAGCTGAGCACCAACTCAACATAAATTAAGCGAAAAACAAAACTTTTGAAAAAATTCAAGCCTGTGACTTTTTAGCTATGCAGTGCAAAGTGCTTGGCTAAAATGTGTGCCACATATTTATTATATAATCTGGTAGCTATGCTATTCATATAGAGGCCGAAAAACAGAAAGAAACAAATTTCTTTTGGACTCAAAGCAAATGTGTCCTTGTGTCACAAATTGCTGGCTAAAGTTAGATGTGCCCCCGAGTGCAGTGGCCCCAGGCGCTGCTGCTACTAGACAAGAACATAAAAACGATTTAATTATACATAGTTGAAATAAATATTTTCGGTATTTTTGGTATTTTTTGGCTCCCTTTTTCGGCCATTTGGCAGCGACAGCGACGAACGACGACCGACAGCAACGCAATTTGCATTTATTTCTCTTTATTTTCCGCATTTGGCTGTTCCCTTGTTCCGACCTGACTGGGCCAGGCCAAAAAGTTTTGGGTCTGCTTTAAAGTTTTTGGCAGGCCTTTAGTTACCCTGCAAACCCCCAGCCACCCCCCTCCTTCCGTAAACCGTCGAGCGTCTTTTAAGCGTAATCCGGAATCCGTTCGCTGCGTTTGCTTTCAATCAAGTTGAACATTTTTGGTAAGACATATCGCAGCTCCCTCGTCTGCCAGTCTGCCACTTCCAAACAATGTTGTTGATGAGCCTGTCAATTGCACACACACACACACACGCACACACACACAGACGAACTCACTTATATACCCTACACTCTGGCGCTGACTGGCCCCAGCTTAGCTGTCATGACAAACAGCGACCAAGTTGAGCGAAAATTTCATAAAGATTTCATCACTAATAACAAATAATTAGCTGACTGACTGCGGCTGCCAAATGTCAAGGGCAAATAAACAACATAAACAAAATAACAACAACAAGAACAGGAAGACACAACAAAAGAAGAACAACAATTTAATTTATGATGAGAGTTGAATGCATCAGATAAATAGTTTAATAAATAAGCACTCCAAAGCTTTTATGAGAATTCCAACATAAGGAACTGTACTCTGTACTATATATCATGTTTTCAAGATCTATGTATATATGGGTATATATATATGTTATATGTATTGTTCATATATGAAACAGTTTACCTTGATCAAAGGCACAGTCGGAACGGCTAGAAAGTTGCATTTTTTAATCTGCATGTCCATATGTAGATATACATATGTATGACATATGTATGATATATGTATGACATATGTATGCATATGTGACATATGTATGTATGTACACGTCACGTTGGGATTTTTATATGTTTCCACATCCGTGGTCCCAAATATACCTTTCAAATCGAGCTTTGAACACATTTTCCTCATAAAATTATATGAAACGCATTTCAAACGTTTCGCAAAATCCACTCAGCAGCGTGTAAAACGTGCGAAGTCTCAAAAATTGATTACTTAAACTTTGCAACCAGGCAAAGCCGGATAATGCCCGCAAGCAATGCATACAAATCATTGCGTAAAGTGAATAAAAGTCAGCATTTACGTGGCAACAGTTAATTTTCATTTATTAAATTCGTATATAATTGCCGGAATACGGGTGGAATCGAGTATTGATTAGAATTTCGTCAACTATTCGGAGTTCACTTGTTCCTTCAATAGTAAGTGGAGTGCAGGCAAGCAATTTAAGCCACAGCCGCAAGCCAGCTGCCGAGTGCCAGTTGAGGGCAGTTAATATTGGCCAGCTGTCAGGCAGGATCCTTTTTACCGTTGCATTCAAGTGCAGGACGAGTGCCAAAACCAATACTCGAAGCCGTTCAGGCGATAATTGTGCCAGGTGTTGATGCCAAAAGTAAACGTAGCTGAGTGCCGAGCAGGTGTGTGGTCAGGTCAATTGCTGGACATGCAGCAAACACCACAACAAGACACACACACACACACACACACAGAAATACACGCACACACACACACACACATAGCAGAAGACATGCAAAGTCCTTTGAAACTTGTAAGCTGCAAGTTGCAACTTGCTGACTGCTGCCTGCTTCCTGCTGCTTGCAACTTGCTATTGATCAAAAATTTTAAGGCCAAATTACGAAACTAGCTGGCAGCCAGGGCGTGGCTAGCGGGCGTTTTGTGTGTGCGTGTGTGTGTGTGTGCCGTTGGCATTTGCAAAATGTTTAAAATGCAAGTCAGAGACAAGCTAGTCGAGTGTGTGTGGTGTGTTTTTAAATGTCAACACTTCAACTTCGACTTTTGTGCTGATGTTGCAGCTGCCTCTGCTGCTGCTGTTGTTGTTGTTGTTGTTGTAGTTGTTGTCGCTGTTGTCGTTGTTGTTGCTGTTGCAGTTGTGACGCGCGCAACACAATGACGTCATGACATTGCCCCAAAGGAGCCACTCGCTTATCTATCAATTGCCGACGGGGTCATTGCCGTCGTGGTGTCTACGTCAACAGCAACAGCGGCAACAGCAACAAACGTGCCACAATTCGTGCCCAGCTTGTCCCGTTGGCCGTGCCCGCAACGCTTAACTGCTGCACGTGATGTCTCAATTAAGCTGCTTCAATCCCATTTGCCTCTCATTGCATATCTCAGGGCGTCACGCACAGGCACACACACACACACACACACATACACACGCACACAGAGAGAGCGACACACATAAGCACATACAGCTACACAGACACACACACTTACACATTAGCATTCAGTTTTTATTTACAACAATAAAACAAGCGTCAATTATTTTTTACAATAAATATGCAATAGAAAAACTCGAGTAAATTGAAAAACTCGCTAAGAGAAAAACCAAAATAAAATCCAATCATAAAATGAAAATTTCTATTTGATGTTCGTTTTTTTTTGTTCTTGTTTTCGGTTAGTGTATTTCTGTTAACTGTTGTTTGTTGCAACTCGATAGCTGATAATCGATACATGTGTTTTGTACTCGTTTTACCTCTATCTACCTCTATATTTAGCCTATCTAACTTATTAATGTTATTTGTACTATTATCGTTGTTTATTATTGTAACCCTTTGCAGGTTTAAAGACCAGGAGGCCTCTATACTCATTGACAGATCGTACGTATGCCCAGTTCTCTCAATCTATCTATCTATCTATCTAGATATTTCCGACTAACTTGTAGCTTTCTTTTTGACTATTGCTTGATTGTATGCTTGACCTGCACTTGATGTTTGTCTTGTTGTTGTTGTTCTTAATATTTTCTTATTGTTTTGTATTCGATTATGTTGCATGTTTGTCTCAGCTTACCTTTTTTTGTTGCTCCTTTGTAAAAAGAACATTTAGCCATGTTCTATAAACGTTGGAATAATATTTATAATAATTTGACGCCTGTTTTATACTCGTTTATACATCATTTTTTTCTATTAAATTGTATTATTATTCTTCGATTCTCTGCCATTTCATTAATTTTTGCAATTAGTTAGTTAATTGATTTCTACTTTTGAGGCATGTTGCACAGCAATTGCAGCACTCTCCAGCTGAATAAAATGTGTATACTCTGTTCCCAATTGGAAGAATGGCATATTAGGTTATTTAATGACTCTCTGTCGTCTTTTCAGATCAAGTTCAATTGTTTTTTGATATACAATAGAAAACCTCCATAAACCACATTTAATTTAATTTCCCCCGAATTAACTTACTTTTTTAGACGTCTTATCAATTGCCACGCCCATTGTAGCTGTCTTTGTAGCTGAAACCAGGAACAGAGTATCCCCGCAGTCGGTAGCTACCGAATGCAACTTATTGGCTAACAAAAAAATATCAATATTTGCTTGAATATCAATATATATTATATCAAAATATTCTCCAGGATCTTTGGCAATATTATTCGTAATTGAAGAGCTCTCCATTTCTGCTGGAAGAGCGTTTCACTTCAAACAGTTTCTCATGTTTGTGTGGTACACTTTGATAGCTTGTTGAAATATTTGATTTAGGCCCAAAAAAAAGAATTTCACATACTTCCCACTCTATTTCTGTGTGTGTGTGTGTGTGAGTGTGTGCAACACTCGTGAGTCAGATCACGCCGCTTTTATTTTTGGGGCAAAGAAGCTCACATGACGTGCCGCGCGCGCTACTCGATTCACCAAAAATGTTCATCCCAGTCATCATTTGTCGTTGTCGTCGTCGCAATTAAAGGCGCAAAAATTGTCGGCCAGCATGGGGCAAGGCTGGCGAGGCGCAGCCAAGGGGCAGCTGTTGAATGAAAGCTGCCAAAGATGTGGCACAAAACAACAGCAACAACTAGGCGATGCGGCGACAGCGCAGCTAATTTAAATATGAAAAACATTTCCTACTTCCTGTGCGACAAGCACAAGAAATAGGAAAAGCCCAGTCCAAATGCAAAATGCAAAATGTCAAAATCTCAGCGCTGCCTTCGCCGAATCTGACCGCCCAACTATCGTTGGCCAAATTCAATCACAGGCCAAAGCGAATACACAACCAGCGTCCCTTGCATCCACACTTGGCCGCGTCGCCACATGCAGCGACGCTGTCGTATACGTAACGTGCATATTATTCATACGCAGCGTGACATCGAGGCAAAAAAAAAACCAAAAATGAGATGGAGGAGCAAAATGGGATTGCAAACCAAATGAAATATGTTCTTTTCGCGTATTAAATTTGCCGCCTCAACAAAATTTTGACATGCGCCCAATGCAAATCACACCCAACTACGTGTGTGTGTGTGTGTGTGTGTGTGTGCCAGATGCACTGTATGTGTGCGGGTGTGTGCGTGCGTGTGTCTGCATGCATTTGAGTGGCCTCTTTTGCTTTTAATAAAAATGCATCCCACACACAAATTTGTCATGCAGTCAAATCTCAAAAAAGCATCCATATTCTGTACATGCAAAATTCCCATATGAACACTTGATTTTCTTTTCTAATGTGCAGCGAGGTGTACAAAAATCGAAATATATTCAGTAATTCCGATTAAAGTTATTTAATGCCTCAAAAAGTCCGCAAATGTTGGTCACATCTGTGCCGAGTTCCAGTTAAAGAGAAGATTGGGTAACTCTTTAATAGGTATTATTTGTAAGCAAAAGAATTTAATTTAAATTTTATAAATAATATTTACAAACACATTTAACTTTATTCAATCGGGAATTGTAGCTATTGTAAATATAATTATGCACGATTAATTGGTGTCAAATATATATGAGGTATTTAATATAAATCTCCAGAGAAAAAGAAAAATGCACGACTTATACTCATAAATCCGTATTGAATCTCGGTATATACCTTTTCAATTATTGAAATATATGTGATAGATATTTATTATGAATCTTCATAGATTATAAAGTAGGAGAGGAATAGTAAGAATATATGTATATCGTACAGATATAGTAAAATAGTATAATAAAAAATCTCGAAATAAAAAGAGCTTCCTTTGATTGTAGCTAATCAACATTAAGCTGAAATATCCCATAGATACATCTATAACAGAGCATATGTTATGTTATGTTATGTTTTGTAAATGTTTATGAACAATTTCATCAGTCACTTGACTCGACGTCGATGCTTTAGATGCCCACGTTGCTGTCAGTCACGAGATTTCTTTCTATGCTGACCCAATGCCCCCATAACGCGCCAACAGTTGCTTGATTTGTTTTTCTTCTATTCTCGAGTTTGAGTGCCCCATCGTGTGTGTGTGTGTGTGTGTGTGTGTGTGTGTGTGTGTGTGTGTGCGTGTGCGGGTGTGTGTGTGCCCAGCCGACATTTGTTTATTGAATGCAGCGCCACTTGCCGCTCGTCATTCAAGTGGGTTAAGTGACGCAGTGGGCGGACCAAGTCCAAACACGATGCGAATGATTATCGCAATCGGGAATCGGGCATGTGAAATCATCGGGCGGAGGAATCGCAATTGAAATTGAAATTGGAATCGGAATCGGAATCAAAATAAAAATCTTGGCGGCGGCGGCGGCAACGGCGGCAATTTATGTGTGACGCTGGCCCATGCGGCGTATGAGTAATGTGCCCATGCATCTCTCTCTCTCTCTCTCTCTATCTCGCACACTCTCAGTCACTCATATGTGCTTAAGTGGAATGGAAGAAGCAGCAGCCGAGCGGGACACACAAGTGGGTTAGCTAAATTAAAAATTGCTCGAAATTATTATTAGAATTACGTGTGTGCGCTCATTTACGACTAACCTGCCAGAGATATTAAAAATAAACGTTAGTAGTTAAAATACAAATGGGCATATTTACATGTCGGCCGCCTGGCTGCCCCATTTTACTCTCTCTCTCACTCTCTCTTTCTCTCTCTTGTACTTATGTAATGAGCGTTCAAGCGAAACACAACAACAGCAACAACAACAAATGGAGATCGCCCGAAGGCAGCCAAATGGCAATTTGAGTTGAGAATTTATTAAGCATTAGCGTGGGTAAGTGCGCTAGAGGAAAAGAAGAAGACAAAAGAGCGAGCTTGACAAACAAAGAGAGAGAGAGAGAGAGAGAGCGTGAGAGTGGGACAGGGAGAGAATGAAATTAATTTTGCGTGAGTTGTAGAGAATGAAAATAAAACAGAGATAGACAATCAGGTGAAGGCATAATATGCGCGAATTGTGCTTCTAGATGATGATAATGAACATGATTATGATGAAGATGTTGATGATGAAGATGTTGCTGATGATGATGAAAATAATGTGTTTGTTATTATTGTTGCCGTTATGTCAGGCAAGGACGCCAGCTTGCCTTGCCGGACATTGGATATGTCGACTATGTGTGTGTGTGTGTGTGTGTGTGTGTGTGTGTGTGTGTGTGTGATATGGTAATAATATAGGGTGTGCACATGTTTATGCTTGATTGGAACTCAATGTAAATAACAGTTATTACTGAGAGTATGTAATTTATTAGAGGGTATTCCCGAAGGATCTACCCAGTTAGTTCGATGGCATACAATTGATCGAAATGTATTTAAATAGCCCGTTTTCTACCGATCTTCCTCAAAAATAAAAAATCAAATAAAATGTAATGTTTAATTACAAGACTTCTTAATAATTTATTTAAGTGCAGACTTTCACAGGAACATTCTGTAAAGTAAAATATGAAGACCTTTTGCTGTTCTGCGCCATTCGCCATTCGCCTAAATCCGAAGAGAGATTCTTCTTGCTTGCATTCGATAAGCAAATTTGTGTCATGGCGACACCCTGTATATTTCAATAATTGAGCGAATGTTGTACATGTTGTGTCATTTCATTTGTTCAAGCAAAAATCTTACGCGCGCAAAAAGATGAAGAAGAAGACGTCGAAAAAAAGCACAGGCACAAATGATGAAAATGAAATGACACACAAATACACACGCTCGCACACATGCACAAATTTAATTTTATTTATTTTTATATGCATATTTTTTTAAGTTGAATATAATTTTTTTCTTACGTTACGTTCAGCCCAGCTGATGGCTGCCGCCCGTTGCCCGTTGCCAGCTGCTCAGCTGCCTCTGACTGCGCTGCGCTGTCTCCGTCTCTGTCTCTGTCTCTGTCTCTGTGGCCGCTGGCGTCGTCGTCGTCGTCGTCGTCGTCGCCGTCGTCGCCGCTGTCGTTTTCTACTATAATTTTTCTTATTTTTTTTTCATTCCTGAGCGCGCGAGTTGTGTTTTGAGTTTTGTATTTTTGCTGGCCACGCCGCGGGACGCGCTCATTCTCGGCCAGCGCGCACTCGTGGAAAATTCAAAAAGCATTTGCGTTGTCGTCGCGTTGTTGTCGCGTTGTCGCGTTGTTGTCGTTGCCATTGTTGTTGTCATCTGAAATAATCCGCAAAATAGTTGCAGCAATCCGAGAAATCGCACTAGATACACGGAAATTAAGTAGAATTGAAATTGTGATTGAAAATTGGAATGCCAAATCGAATTTGGCATTAGCCTGTTGCTTCTGGCCAAACTGTCGCCGGCTCTAATGATCGAGCCTTAAATTTTATTTTCCCATTCTTTTCCTGTGTGTGTGTGTGTGTGTGTGTGTGTGTGTCAGTGTATGTGAGCTTGTGCGTATGTGTGTGTGCAAGTGTCGCCATGTTGAACAAAAAGTCAGCGTCGTCGCAGTCGCTGCCGCGTGTGCACAGCTTC